GAGCCGTACATAGTCATTAAATTAACATCTATTTTAATGAAACATGATAATGCCTTTATTATTGATAAATCAAATTTGAGAAACACATGCATTAGATCCAAACGAGCCATTTGCCTAGTCCCCTTGATGGAGATACAAAGGGGCTTTGTTTATGTGAGGATGCGACATGGCTGCCAAACTTTGCAAGAATGAGAGATAAAAATAGAAGCGGGTTACGCTTTTTACTAAAATACCGAACCGTGAATCGAATGTTTCTGCAGCGCGTGCACGATTCCAGCATCGATCTCCTAGGGGCCGGGTGTGCGTTCTAGTCTGTGAGTTCTCACGGGCGGAAGGATGAACACTCCGATTTCTTCAGGCTCGTATTTGTGCCGCTGTTGGGCAGGACCCTGGTGATTTTGTGGATGTGCATAGTCGGATAAGAGAGAATTTGTTCTATAACAATCATTCACTGGAATAAGTCTTATTTGTATTTTTTTTAGCTCGTCCCCAAAACACATTTTACTATTTCTTCTCCCCGTTTTGGAGATTAAAAGCCCAAAGTGAAGAGGAATGAGGGACTTTCTCAAATCCTCTAGCTAATTATATGCATTGATCTGATACTTTTAAATTTCATTTTTCATGGTTTTAACCAACCCAGCATTTGACTAATCTTAGCGAGGTTCGCTAGCGTTCACCCGTGACCTGCACTTCGCCTCACCCAAGGTCACTTCTCCCTTTCATTTGGTCTCTGAGAGCTGCTTGGCCGTACTCTCCTCCCCCTTCCTGACGTGGCTCTGAGGCCATCGTCACCCTCGGTCTCCTTCCACCTCCCTGGCTCTCTGCCCCCTCACCTGCGCCAGCCGCCTTCCTCCGCCTCCTGAACACGCCCAGCTCCTCGGGAACACGCCCAGCGTCTGGGATCGGAACTGGGAGGTCTTCCGCTTCCGAGCCCCCCAGATCCCTTTACGAAAGCAGCTGGTCTCGTGGCTCTGAGCGCCTTCTCCACGTTGCCCCCTGCCACGTTTACATCTGCAGCCAGACATCTGCCGTCATCTCTTCCTCCGGGAGTCTGTCTCATCTCAGTAAATGGCAAATCCAGGGCTTAATTCGAGACACTTGAATTTCCTTATTTCTCTGAAGCTGCACCTCTATTTTGTTTATCTTGTTGGTTCTCACATCAAAACACATTTATAATCTAGACACTTTTATACCATCCTGGCCCCGCCCCTTGCCTTTCACCGTTTATCTATTGTCTTTGTACCTGTCTTTCCACCTGTAAGTTCGCCGCACACCCCGTGCCGTGGTCTGAATCTCTGTGCCCCTCTCAAATTCACTAGCTCCCAAGGGGATGGACGCACTGAGAGGAGACGCCTAGCGGAGGTGTCTAGGTCACGATGGGATGGGTGACCTTGGAAAAAGACCCTGCAGAGCTTCCCGTCCCTTCCTCCACGTGGGGCCACAGCGAAGGGACCTGGGAAGTTGGCTCTCCCCAGACACCGAGTCTGCCGCCACCTTGACCTTGAACTCGCAGACTCCAGAACTGTGGGGAGGAACCATTACTGTTGCGTGTAAACCACCTAGTGTATGACATTTGTCACGGTTTCCCAAATGGACAAGGACACCCCAGCCCCAGCCCCCAGCCCAAACAGGATTTGTCATTTACTTAACAACCAGAGTGAGTCTTGGAAGGAATCGGAACTAGTCAGATCAGATTACTCATCCGTGCAGACCCCCCACCCCCCCGATGATCGTCCATCTCATTCAGCATTTTACGGCAGCGTCCTGACAGCATTCGCCAATATGCTGACTCGGCCAGGCTCTGCCCGCCGCCCTCGGCCACCCCATGTCCTGCGCTGACGCCCGGGCCTCCTCAGCCCCGGCCGGCACCCTGCCTCCCGGCCGCAGCCACGTGGCTCGCCCTCATTTTCTCTGTGAGAACCCACCTTCTCAAGAGGGGTCCCCGGCACGTTCTGCGTCGGAGTCGCCCTCTCCCGTGCCTCCGTCGGGCTGGTTTCGCTTTTCCCCTCTTTCCCACGTGACGTGTGACGTCCTTTAGAGTCATTTGCGCGCTGATGCTTTTCTCTCCCCTCCGCAAGTTCTCTCCCTCCCTCGCTCCCTCTGTGACTCTCCGCTGGTGGAGCACTGTTCCTGGCACGTAGTGTGGGTCCAGTAATTAATCCTTTAATACATCTTAGGAAAAAAAATTCCTTTAGAAGTCTATATTTTAGACATCTTATTCAAAACTTGTATTCCCCAATTTTCTTTAACTCAGGTTGTAGTTAAAACAAGCTAAGCAGATTATTGGAATAAATCTTTTAAAAAGCCGATATCGAGAAAACATGCCAGATAGGTTTTCCTCCCTGTGAATCTGGGGAAGTACATGCACTGAAACTAATTCTCCCATTCATTAAGCTAAAAGCAAATAGAACTAGAAAGACAAATGTGGTTGAAAGCACCATGCGTTTTGAATGGATATATAATTTAGAAAAACAGTGTCTGTTGCCTCGGTTCGTGGTGTCCCTTGACGAGGCGCCTCGTGTTTCTACGTCCCTTGGAACGGCCTCTCCTGTCTCCGGGCACAGACCCCACGCCGAGGGCTGTCGAGCGCCAGACCGCCCTTCTCGGCCCCGGCCCCTCTGGCACGTATGTGCTGAGCCGGAGGATCGGCTGCTCAGGCCACGGAGCCTGCAGCGGTGGCGTCGCCCTCCCTGTCACACGTGCGTGAACGTTCAGTGACACGCATGCCGAGCCTTTGGTGCCGTGTCTGTTCCACGCCTAGTGGCAGTGAAATATCACGGTGTCAAAAAGTCGTAAAATAGCCTGGGGGAACCTCAGGGGTGAATGTCACAAGCGACTATTCACTTGTGTTCACATAGTTGTTCAACAAACGTCTATTAAATGGATGCGAAGTTCGAGGAATCGTCCTGGCCCGTGCGAGCACGGGGAGATGCTGCCACGGAGGAGAGCTCGGGGCAGCGGATCCGGGTAAATGAATCCCAGACGGCCGGTTGTAACACAGCAGCCATGTCAGCCTGGGGAGTGCAGGGTGCGACCGCCATCGTGATTCAGGGTCAGGAACCTTCATGCCGGCGAGTCTGAGGGGTGGCCGCGGCCCATGGTGAACGCAGAGGCCGGTGGCAGGACCCAGGGGGCGTGGAGGCCTTTGGGAGGAGACACCTGCTGGGTCGAGGAGGATGCAGGCGGTTAAAGGCGGTGCCATCTCGCATCACAGGGACGCGGTGAGCAAGCAGACGGGGGAGGCCTGCGGTGCCCGGCGTGAGGGACATCGCAGGTCACAGGAAGGCACGTGTGGATGTGCCGAAGGCAGCGGGGAGCGTCTCAGACATTCGGAGTGGTTCACTCTCAGAAGAATTACTCTGGAGAGAAAAATCATTTGTGGTGTGCCAGGGAGGACAAAGTTGAAATAACACGGGTAATAACAAAAGAAAGTCTCAACTAAGGAGCTAGATAGATTTAAGCGGGGCCGAGGAGCATGCAGGTGAGATCCTAGCGACAGAGCGAATGTCAGGACAGGGACTAAATCCACAGGAAAAGACAGTGGCCCCTGGGTCGCCTCGTGTCGGGGGAGAGACAGAGGGGAACGGGGAGTGGTAGCGGCCGGGGGGCTTCTGTTTGCGAGGATGATGAGGTGTCCTGCAATTGGGTTGTGGCCCTCTCTGTAAATATGCTAGAAAACACTTTGTTGTACTTTAAAAACGAGAGAATCTCTACGTGTGTCGATCTTGTTAAAGTTACTTAAAAATCACGTCGACACGATTTTTGCTGAGTCGTATGGGTGACTGCCGGCGTCGCCCCCGGGACGCTCCCCCCGGGCCGGGAGGTGAGAGGACATGTGAGACCGAGGGGCTTCTAGGTGACGGTGGCACCCGGGCGGGTCTGCCAGGCGCCTGAGGCCTCGGTCCGGGTGTCAGAGGTGCCCTCTGAAGACGCAGACTGCAGAGTGTGGACCAGGAAAGCAGGTCGTCCCCCCACCCCCGCCCCCTGAGACTGAGTGAGGAGGGTGGAGGAGGGAAGTGTCAGATGGCCTTGCAGAGCCGAGCCTGGAGGGAGAGGAAGAATCCAGGAGAGCGACCGAGGGAGCAGGAGGGTCAGTAGGCAGGACGGGGAGCAACGCCCCCCAGGGTTTCGTTGGTTCGTTTGTTTTTGTTTTTGTTTTGTTTTGTTTTGTTTGTGTCATTTGTTTTTGTTTTGTTTTGTTTGTTTGTTTGTTTTTAAAGCAATTTCGGTACAATTAGAGCCATGCTGCCGGCTTTAGAGTTGAATGGAAATTTGAGGCGATGGGGCAGTGACGCAGACGCTGCTTCAGCCCATGGGATTCCGCCGAGGACAGTGGAGGCAGTTGGTTAAAGGGTCTGAAGGGTCGGCAGATAGACATCTTTCCAGCGGGCAAGCCGTGAAGTAGGAGCGGGTGGAGATGCAGAAATCCGTAAGGGAGGGTGAGGGGCTCCCGGGGGGAGGGGCGCTGGCACCAGAGAAGGCGGCGGGGTTGGGGGGGAGGGGCCCTAGGTGTGAGGTGGCCACTGAGGCTGGGATGGCAAGGACAGTAGTCTGCCTGGAACCATCAGTGAGAAAGACAAAAGATGTTTTTATAGGGTGAGGGGCTCCCGGGGGGAGGGGTGCTGGGACCAGAGAAGGAGGCGGGGTTGGGGGGAAGGGGTCCTAGGTGTGAGGTGGCCACCGAGGCTGGGATGGCAAGGACGGTAGTCTGCCTAGAACCATCAGTGAGAAAGACAAAAGATGTTTTTATCAAAAGCACAAGAAAAATATAGATAAATTAGACTTCATTCAAAGTGAAAAAAAAAAAGGTCCTTCAAAGGGCACCATCAAGAAAGTACAAAGGCAGCTCACAAAAAGCGAGGAAATATTTGCAAATTAGATGTACAGTGTTCGGAATGTAGAAAGAACTCTCACCTCTTGATAAGAATAATAAAAAGACAACTAATTCAATTTAAAAGCAGAGAAAGGACCTTTCTCATTTCTCCAAGGGTGATAGACGAATGGCAGGTAAGCGCATCAAAACATGCCTGACATCGTTGGTCATCGAGGAAACGCAGATCAAAACCACGGCGAGATACAGCTTCACGTCCCCTCGGCCGGCCGGCATCGAGCAGTGCTGGAGAGGACGTGAAGGAGTAGGAGCCTCCAGCACCACGGGTGGGAACGTCAGGTGAGCCGCTCCGGGAGGCAGCCTCCAGGGACCACACCCGGCGCCGGCCTCTGACCCAGCAGTGCCGCGCCCACCTGTGCACCCAGGGCAAGCAGAAACAATGTCTACGCACATCCCCGTATCACAGATGCTTGAAGAAACATCCCTAAAAGCCAAGAAGTGGCAACAACCCGATGGCCGGCTGATGGGCGAGAGGGTAAACAGGTGTGGTGAGGCCACACCGAGGACCATGACTTAGCTATGACGAGGAAATAAGCACGGTCAGGCCGGACTGAGAAGCCTGAACCTGGGATCCGTCCAGCTGTGCCCCATGGCTGGCCGCGCCTGTCCGGGCCCAGCCAGAGACCCTCACAGCCCCCGAGGCCTGGGCTGCCGGGGACCCCTGCCCTGTCTTCACAGGCGCCAAAGAGAAAAATGAAATGAAGCGTGATACACGTTAGGACGTGGATGGATGGCGGAAATATTATGCTAAGCGAAATAAGCCAGTCACAAAATACGCTGTGCTTTATGTGATTTCATTCAAATAAAATCTTCAGTTAGGAGAGCCACAGAGACGGAGTAGACCAGGGGCTGCTCGGTGTGTGGACGGTGGGGGTGCTGGGCGTTCACCGCAGGGGTGGAGTGAGAGCTAAGGGTCCGAGTTTCTTCCGGAGCTGAGAATGATGGAAAGTGCATCGTGGTGATGATCAGGTCGACTGCATGCTCTATGGTTCACGTGTCAATGAAGCTATTAAAAATATCTCAGCAGAGAGGCCTTCTACTCAAGACCTGCCCGGAACTCCTCAAAGCTGTCAAGATCGTGAAAAACAAGATGATTCTGAGAACTGTCACACAGACGCCTCAGAGAAGACGTGATGCTGAATCACCCGGTAACTTCAAAGGAATCCTGGGCCAGTAAACAGGGACGTTAAGTACAAAGAACATCTAAGCGGAGTATGACTTGTCATTATACAATGTATCAGTATTGGTCTATCAACCATATTGTAACGACATTACCATACCAGTGTAAGATATTTACAATACGGGAAACTGGGTCCGAGGTATTGAGGAAACTCTGTGCTCAGCTGCACCATTTTTCTGTTAATCCGAAACTGTTCTAAAATAAAAGTTTATTTTAAAGAAAGATTTATTTATTTTTGTGACTTTCTGTTCTAAAATGCGATGTTAGAATCATTCTGTAAGTGTTCAAGATCTGTTGCCAGAAATCGCTTTTGCCAATTAATTCTCTTGGAATCCTCTTTGAGACTCTAAAAGTGTAACAGAAATGGCTCATGACCAACCCTGTATTAGTGTAAGCATGAACTTATTTTATATAGGCAAGGACCTTTGATCTGCATACAGAAAGAGAGACAGGATTGAGTAGCATTCAGAAATAAACTGTAAATTCTGTGGTTAGTTAAGGCTTGGTTGCAAGCTCGGGGTTGTATCCTACGTTGGCTGACATAGCCAACCATTTAGACAAAAATGCTTCTTAAACAAATGCTGTTTCTTCTACTGACACATCATTGGGCTATATGATTAATATGGATTTTGGAAAATAATCCCTGTATAACTTTTTCTCTAGACAACTAGTCTCTTTTAGAAATGCATGCTTCCTAGTTTCTAGTAAATTTTAGCATTATCCCATCATATATTAATCTATTGTAGATATATTTTCAGATAGAGCTGACCTATAAGTATGCTATATCATCCATATCTAACAGATATCACTTTGCAAACACATTTAATCTCTAACTAAATTAAAGGACACAATATATTTTACCTGGAAAGTGTTTAAAATCAGAACCAGGTTAATAAACTCTAAAATGCCACCAAATTCAGGCAGGGAAGATTTAAAAGTGCCAGGTCGAAAGTCCTTTTTTTTTTTTTTTTCCATACTTAACTATTAAAATTTCTGAGTCACGAGGCGGGGTCAACCACAGAACGAGAGCAGTGTAGATTCCCAGCAGAAGTCTGGGGACAGGTGGCAGCTGGCACGGAACGGCAAGCTCCAGCTTGGGAACTGGCCCCAGAAAGCTGGTCGCAGGCTCAGAGAGCAGGTCCTGTCGAAGCATCAAGCATACGTCTGGCCGAAGGGCCCTGACTGCTTTAGGGATGGCCAAGGAAGCCATGTGCATCGGCCCACGTGCAAGGGCGCCCGTATCTCCACCCACCTACCTGTCCCTGGGGAGCTGTAATGCAGGAGGCAGGATGCCAGGAAGTCAGCCATGAAAGAGATACAACTTCTACGTACTCCCAAATTTGAGAGGAGGGGTCCGCTTTCTGCACAGGTCAAAGGAGAGACTCTGAACCTGCTTGGGACATCTGTGCGTGCGCTGGTTTCCACCCAGGATGGTATCTAGAGTAGATAAAAGAAATAAGGTTATTCCGCGGCTATGTGTAAGTCCCCGCTGGCACAGCCGTTTGATGGTCTCAAATGACTGGCCTCAAATGACTGCAGAAAACAGAGAACTGTGGAATATAATGTTCTTTCTGGCTGGGAAAATCCACAGCAGATTCTCAGTCACCCTGCACGTGTAGGTAACCTAGGCCAAGTTCAAATGCCCGCAGGAACCTGGCCATTTTAATCCAACGAGGTGATTGATAAAATTCCCATCATGCAGTGGGGAAATCTCAGCTACAAATATCATTTAAATATTCGATGTCAATTTTCCGAAGCTGAACCCACCTTCGGAACACGGCTCGGTTCGGTTCTGAGCAGCGCCGCCGCAGGCACACGCACGGTCCTCCTCACGGCTCCTGGGTACCTGGTCGCACCCTGTGCGAGGGTGCTTGCCTCTCTCTCAAACTCGGACGCAGAGCAGGGACCACGCCTTTTCAACTTGGAATCCAAAGCTCCTAAAATAGTGCCTGACATACAGTAGAAAACCAGTAAACACTGATTAATTATTCAAAAGCCAAGACACACCTGGCAGCAAAAGTCATGGGCAAAATATGCAGTTGATAGGAATCTCAGCTCAAAATTATTCGTCATTCAGACTATTTTAGATGGTTGCACGTGTATATTGTTGGTCGGTTCAAATTCTTTGCAAAAACGAAGTACAAAATATAAGATGAAAACGTGTCTAGTGTGTGTGTATAAATGTGTAGAGGTGTTGTCTGCCTCAAAAAAAAAGAACACTGCTTTAATGATTCAGTGTTCATTTTTTAATTCTAAAATATTTGATTATTTTATTCAATGCGATAGCGACAAGTACTGTTATCAAAACATAGTGAATATGTTTGTGTAATAATTTGTAATACTTTATTTCTCAGGCGGAATGATTGTTGTTAGTGAGAATTTTAATATGTTAATAGTGCCTGGTTATAAGAGAATCGTGTATGTGTGTGTGTGTGTGTGTGTGTGTGTGTGTGTGTGTAGTTGCAGGTGTTTTCATTATGTAATAGAATTATGTCCTAAAATCCATGGAAAATACTAGGTATTATTGGAAAAAAATTTTTAAATGTCATATGGCCGATTCTACTTATTAACCTTTACAATTTTCCGATGGGCTTTTGTGAGGAGGGGAGGTGTAAAACTAAATAAAACCAATTAGCCATGTATTCTATTAAGTACATACAACACTAGCACGTCTCTGACTATGCTAAATTCTAAAGGCTAGTTTGAATTGTTCTACAAATCAGAAAACTTTTGTCAGTCACTCGATTTGCCTGGGAAATTGATTAGAATATAACTGAGATAATTTGTACATGAGACCATCGAATAGTCATTATCGTTATTATTATTATCGTTATTATTAAGTCTTTAGAGTCTAGAGTAATCATGAATAAATGCTGTTTCCTTTTGGTCCTAAGACAGACTTTTTTGGGGGTGTGAGTTGTTCAGAAGGGACGCTCATTAAAAGGAAATACAGAAAAATCAATTTGTGTACCGTTGATTTTGCGCACCGCCCCTTATGGCTGCTTTTCGAATTGCAAGACGGTCTCAGCAGGCAGTCCTGACCTTGAGGCAGCAGAGAGTGCTGATTGAAGCAATTATGAGCCAAAAAGATGGCATTATGCTGAGTAAATAAGAATCCAAAATAAAAGGAGTGGGTGAAAGCTTCAGCATCCATATTCAGATCAGTTAATTTCCTTTGGGAATGGCCCGAGTCCCTCTCCATTGATCTTTTCTGCGATAAATGATTCAATCAAAGGCCTATCCACTGATGCTTGGGAACATCTAGATAAATATAAACACCGAGTCCCAAATTGCTAGTTTTAGTAGGAAACGCAACCTTAGAGTGCTACGTGAAATTACCAGGTGGCTACAATTAATTTTTTTTTTCTTTTTTTTTTTTTTTTTTTTTTTTTTTTTACGGTGTGATATATAGTAGAACATGATTCCTAGTCAGTAGAAAAATAGAACTTGTGAATCAGTGTATAGATTACATAAACACTGCATGGACTCATTTTTTTCTAATAGATAAAAATCCGAATGGTCTTACGTCCGCGCGCTGAGCATAGTCTGCACGCTCCGGCCACCTGCTCGGATGCGCTGCGAGCTCATGCTTTCTGCTGATTCACCAGAAGCGTGAGGCTTCCTCTTCCTCAGCGTCTGAAGCGGCCCCCTGTGCACCGGGAGAGCAGCTGGCCGCAGGGGCGTTAGGGTGAGGCTCCCCGCATCTCCGTCGGCTCCACATACGGGCATCGCTTCTCCAGTCCGTCGCCTGCTCCCAGTTTATGTTTTCTCGTTCATTCGACGGACACTTAATGGAGGCATTTACGTTCAAGCTCATGGCGCCGCAGGAGATAGATAATACGGACCAGGCTATTCGGGAGGGGACGGTAGAACGGGTCCCTAAATAGCGCAAGGGCGTGGCGGGTCGTAACCCCCCAGGCAGGGACATAGGGGCCGTGTCGTGGAGACGGAGAAGGGCAGCGCGGTTTCCGTGGGCCTGGACGGATGGCATGGATTCGCACCTGCAGAGCTGGCGGAGACAGGTAGACAGCTCTTGGTCCCTTCCCTCACGCACACAGTGTCCCCTCCATCCTAATCTCTCCAAATGCACCGTTGGCAAAGAATCGTGTGACATTGCAAAGCAGCCAGAGTTCCTGCGGTCTTCATCCACGTCTGGACACCTCGGGAGTGAGTTTCTGATGGAAGAAACAGTAGCACAAGTAACAGGCCACGCGTGGGGTGTTTTGGGTCAGGGGGACATCGTAATCCCTGGAAGTATATCGGATGTGCAGGAAATGGCCTTCTCCCTCGTGCTCACTGTAAGGGGCAGACACTCCCACCCAGGGAGCAGACGCCACTTAGCGTCTCAGACTCTCAACCCCACGCCCTTGCACACTACTAAGGTTATCCCTAGCCCCAGGATAGTGACCTAGCATCACCCCTCTCAGATTGTCTGAACAGGTCGCGGATTCCTCAAGTACAGCGTCAAAATCTCTGAACAGAGAGGAAAGGGGGGTTCACCTGTTTTCACGTCGCGCGGCCCCGCTTCTCGTCG